TAAGTAAAGGAACTGCTAAGGAAGACTATCCTGGGACTGGTAACAAAGAGCTTCCTTGTGCAAAAGGAAGTGTCCTGGAAGTTGTGGTTAAAGACAACTGTCCAAATGGAAAGTGGTTGGTCAGAGACCAGCAAGGACACTGTAAGTACTGTCAMTCATCCAYTTTTTCATTGATGCAGTTGGTCACATATATTACCATTCATCCATATATTCATTCGTCTATGCAATTTCAGTTGTTCATTCTTACCATGTTTTTCTCATGGCCACATACTAATTTATTGATCTGTTTGTTTCAAGTTGGTTTTGTGCCATCAGAAATCCTTCTACTTGAGGTATGAAAACTTCTTTTCGTTTTATGTTCAAATATTTGACTTCATGGGTAATAATATGATTATCTTTATGTTTTCAGGGCAATCCTGAAGAAAACATTAGGTAATAATACTTGTCATTATTGTGTCAATATATTTCACAGATAAACCATAGGACAAGTAATATGTATTTTTGTAAATAATAATTGGCTGATCCCATTAAAGAGTGCTCAATACACATAAAGTGTAGAGCTAGTTTATTATATATATGATATCAAAGGGGCAAGATTTTGCTGTAACTCCGAGTTTCGTGCTACACACTCATCAGACAGTATTTAATGTTAAATACTGTCTGATGAGTGTGTAGCACGAAACTCGGAGTTACACTGTCTGATGAGTGCGTAGCACGAAACTCAGAGTTACAGCAAAATCTTGCCTCTTTGATATCATATATATTTTTGTAAATATCTCCTTTTTTGAATTAGTGATGAAGCAAACCTGGACGAGGACCTTTATGAGTGTGTTGATACATTCCAAAGTAAAGCATCTGCACCAAGTAAGTCCAGTCGACAAAATGTTGTACACGTAATACCAGTAATGGTTGCGATAAGAGTAGACAAACTGAAAACAAATACAGTATTTCCAATTGCCACTTAATAGTGTTGATAAATAATAAATAWATAAAGTCTTTTATTTTGAGAGGGTAGCACGTAATAGTCTCTAGACTAATAAACCTGTGGCCCTCTATATATTCACTCATACTCACTACCTCAACATTCATTATTTTACTACACGACACTCCTCACAGCTAGTTTTTGACCGAGGGAGGAAAACCAGCGGACCTGGAGAAAAACCCTCGGAGCAAGGAAGAGAACCAGCCTACAAACTCAAATCACATATAGTCCCGTACCGGGAATCGAACCAGGACCACAGCGGTGATAGACCGGCATTTTAACCGCTCGGCCATCCTTGCTCCCCATAATAAAACATAGGAAAAAAAAGAAGTAAGCATGATTCCTTCATCTCTGCAGCAGGCTACGAGTATATCATAACAAATGAATATCATATGTCCATGCAGTTTATTTGGTCTAATCTAGAAACATATTTATTTGTTCTTACTTATTTCAGATGACGTCACAGAAGATTTTTATGACGATACAGTTGCTATAGGTTAGTGTATGTTAGTAATACAGAATAATGTAAGATCATCATCATCATCGTGCTGTTTCGCACCGAGTGGTGCATAAGGCCTTAAACAGAATAATGTAAGAAACGTTATATTATTATTGTCTGTTGTTCCTCCACAGGTGATGAAGATTTCTATGAAGACTTACCTTGTGATAGCTAAAAAGTTGTAAAGATATACATATCCAAGCAGTTTTTCATCAGTATCATATGATCTTCTGGTATTTTTTTGTACCAAAACAATTTACATTTCATTGATAACATTGTTTTATCAGAGTTACTAAGTCTGGCTGAACACAACAAGCTTTCTGTCAKTGATTTACAGTACAGAGAACAGAATTGTTTAACATAATAACAGATCAAATGATCAGTAAGACTACAATGATTAAGATGCACTTTTTAGATATAATTTTGAAATAAAATATAAAGATGCAAAATATGACTATAACTACTTCATAGAAGAAATATAACCTTAAGTTGTAGCACTTATGGAGTTTATTAGTAGTTCTTTATTAAAAGATTGTGAAACTTGAACTACCGTCTATCAAGTGACCCACACTCCCCAAACATACTTTTTTGACCCACCCCTATTCTTTTAGAAATTTAAACCTGGGCCCCCATTGGACTCTCCCCCTCCCTCACCACCCCATATAAATTGTTGAGATAAAAATCATTTTAGTAAAGATTTATGACCATAGATTTACCTTGATTTCTTTGAAATTTCCCCACCAAAACGTCTAATTTTGTAATTGACGTCAAGGCATGTGTGAGCATGCGCGGTGGAGACGAAAGTCGTTTCTCACGTGATCTCGCCTCAAGTGAGAAATCAGATTTGTAGAAAATACGTTTTTCGAGAGAGGTCGCCTTGAAAACGGCTGACAGTTGAAGAAAAGGCATCTATTCTGAATGAGAAGGTAGGCAAAATACCTCTTTATTGTTCGTTTTGCCGATAYATCTCGTCAAAGGTTACGTAGATGATGTTATTTAGTGATGTCCATGCCAACCGTTGATTGCCATAGTAATTCATTGCCATAGAAACAGCTTCAGTTTATTTGGATTTTTTGGGTAAAATTCATTTCAATAAAACTCMAATTAGTTTTCCCAGAGGTTATTCGTGTATGGGTGGGTTCTGAATATATTTTTAGTTGGCAACGACAGCGAAAACTTCAACTGGCTGGTCAACGAAAACTGGATTGTTTTCTCGACTTGTGTTGAACTATCTAGAGAAAACAGTGACTCGTTTATAGGTTTATTTTCAAGTTGTCGTCATTAAAAGAATAAAGAATATTGTTTAGTTTTGAAAATTACGATAAAAGGGAATTATTTAACGATGGGAGAAAAGTCCCGAAGCTGTCACGATTATGGGGGTCGAAATGTTCCGTGCCACTATTCGGCACTACTGCGACTGGGATGTCCTTTTTGGCGTGTTTCATAAAATTTGCATATTGTAATGTGATCTAACTATCACTTGGTGGAATTTTTCACTTTCTGTTTAAGTATATACTTCCATTGACGCTGCCTTTTTTTTAATGTTTTAACTTTTTTCTACAAAAGAAGTAAGATATGATAGAAGTCAATAACTTGTATTGATTGCTGATTAGCTTTTAGCCCATGCTTTAGGATGAATTCTACTGCGGTGTCTATGGAGGTTGCTATGTCGCCAAGARTAGCTCCAGTTCATTCTGTCATAACAACAATCACTTCACCATTCAACGTTGGGGCACAAGACACAGTAAAAAAGAACCCRAAAGGTACAACTAGAAATAGAATATTATAAGTAGCATATTGAAAATGGTTTGTCCTTCCATGGCAATTTATTAATAAATAAGCAGTCAAATATTTTACCGTTCATCATGGGCTGATATACCTAGAAAGCGCGCTTCCCGGATTGGCTGGCTCGTCGCTCCGGTATTTTACGATATACCTGTTGTAAAGTATCCTGAATAGTTTTTTTTTAATGAGACCTCGGGCGGTTTTTCACCATACCAACTATCACATTATGACCAAATGCGTTAGACCCTGAGAAAAGTTAGAAGGTTTAGCGCCATTTGAGTTTTGCAGTAATGTGATTTACTTTTTTCGTTAAATCTTGTCGTCACCACAAGATTCCCACCCGTCATCAACATCAAATGCAAAGTATGAGGATGCACGAACACGTGATGTGATGTCGTTTAATAAAGGTAACCATGTTACATTGTCTGTCCGTCCATTACTAACACTAAATAACCGATCATTCTGAATAAGTCAGTCAGTAAGATGTAAATTAATCAGTCAATCAGTTAGTCAATCAATCTGTCAGAAAATCAATCGATGTTTTATATTGAAWACTTTTCAGTACCAACACCAATAGTTCTTACCAGTTCCCCTGTCGATCAGCGACGYGGTTCATACGTTTTCTTACTGGACGATACTCGGTCTACKTTGATCGCTAAAGAATCTCCAAACGGGAGACCTGGGAACTTGGATCTGATTATAAAACATGATGATCGACTTATGGAAAAAATGGAGGAAACTAGTCGAACAACCAATGAAGATAACGATGGTAGGGTTTTCGTGTCTAACTGATGTGATAGACCCTATTTTATACGGAACATAAATACTTGCCTGATCCTTTTTTCCTTTTTAAACCGTTAGGTTGTAGTTTTTATCACCACATCTAGCACCATCATCATTATCATCATCATTACCACCACATCAACCTTCATCACCACCATTATCATCATCATCAACATCACCATCACCATCATCAGCAGCATCACTATCACCATCACCATCACCATCATCATCACCATCATCATTATCATCATCATAATCAACATCACCACCCATCACCACCATCATCTCGATGTTGTGCAGCTGTTAGATTGGACATGTCTATTGGTTGTAAAGACGGGCCTTGTTCACTCTAGATGGTTCACGATGGCTGTGTAGATTATTACTATTCTTTATTAGTATTACTATTTTCTTATCATTCATTTGTGCTATTATTAGATTATTCAGATGGTGGTTCAGAGGGTTCGTTGGAAGATGTCCGTCAACATCACGGTATCATCAAATCTAGCAAATCAGATGATCACGAGTACCTAACCCTGTACGAGGCACACTTATCAAGACTAGATGAAGTAGCAAATCCTAATCAAGGTACCAACTCTAACTTGGGTTACCTGAGCTGTGTCAATAAAAGTTCAATAATTTCGCGGGCGCGCGCATGAAAGTTTTTTCTGGCAGGATTCGTAAAAACGACGGCAAGATTCTTGAAAAGCGCTSGGTCATCTGCGAAAAATTTGAAATATTGACACTTAAAAGAGTTTGTTTTACCTGTGACGTTTATAAAGCAACTAAAGTTAGACGTTAACACTGCTTGGGTTGCMCGTGTTATGATTTTATGATAATTTGGGATGCCTTTGTCGATTTCCGAGTATCGCGGGCTCGTTCAAAAATAGCGTATATTTGTTGTATGCGTCTACGCATCTTGGAAATCGTCTCTTAACAGGCAATCCATATTGAGATAGATTTACTCTGCGAACAGAGAAAAGTAGCCCTGTTCGCAGAGTAAGATAGATTAGACTCTTTCTAGTTCATGATTTTTAAGAGACACTTACCAACATAAACGCGTGTGTATTAGCAGCGAGCAGCTAAACTAACCAGTCAAATTCATTGTAGCTTTTCATTTCACATTGGCGCGCGCTCAAGATTTGTTCAGCTCTAAGCTGAGAATTTAGGAATTGAAAAATGCTTGGTAGATTTACGCGTTCCTTTCGAGAATGATCCAACTGACGCTTGAAATTTTCAGCTGCATTTCGATCATTCATAGCATTATGAAATATCTTTTTTGTTATAGCGGTTTCTTTTAACCAGCATGATGCCATTGGTATTAACCCCAGGTGATACCGTACAGAACGTCATATGTGACGCTGGCTGTGGTTATATTTAGCAATATATCCTTCCCACGCATTGACCGTAAGGTTTATTTATAGTTTCAAATCACGGGCGTTGCGGGAATTAATTTTTGGGGGGTACACGTAGCAAAAAGCTTGAAAAATCGTATATTTCATTTTTTGCACAATAGTTTTATAGTTTATTACATTTGCCAAAATCTCTGAGTGGCGCGTGCTCGCCTCTCTGTGGCAGCGGTTTCAAAATATAAACACAATTCCATACAATTAAACAGGGGTGAATTAATGCATGTACTGGTAAATGGATCAAATTAAATTATTTTGGTTTTTACATAGTTTTGATTATCTAAACCCCAGTCTCAATAGACCATGGGCTTTCACGTGGTAAGTTAATGACGTTTCGTTGGTCCCAGCGTGGAACAAATAAGTACAYCTAATCTCGGCTTCTGTCCTAATTCTACATTATGTGGTACTATAAGCTTCCATTTATCCTAGTTCATTGACTTCATCAACCGCGAAAAACCATGATTTATTAACAAATACATTTAGTAAGGTTGAAGTTGAAGGTTGAAAGTTCTATCTCATTGACTTCATCAAACGAAAAGTCATGATTTGTTAGCAAAAAGATTTAGTAAGGTTGAAGTTGAACGTTGAAAGTTCTAGTCTCACAACAGACTAAAACGCTGAAAACACATATTAATCTCAATCTTTTCTTGATAAGGAACTTCTTTGACGTAGGATTCGAACTATATAACTTCTTCATTTGAATATGATTTATTTAAAGGATAAAAATCAAACCCGCGCCGCTACATGAGAAAATTTTCCAAAACCCTCTCTTGCTAAGATGTCCAACGCACTCCCCGTTAATGCTTGCATTGATACTCGCATAAGGTGTGTATAAAACGCACGAATATGCGGCAGTCGATTGCGAAATGCGCGCCAMTGTATTATAAACAAAAGAGTTGCTATGCAACGTAGCTGACCAGCAGGGTTGAAGTCGGGCCGTGTAGAAGTCAATTGATGTCCCTTTATCAGTGATCTGCAAGTGTTGTGACCATCCAAAGTGTAACCACTGATTTCCCGGGTTCAATACATCGCCTGGTGTCTCRGATAGTGCGATGCATGATTACCGCAACTCTTACCAAGATATCAAACCTTTTGCAGTGTATCACAAAAGCAAAAAGCGAGAAATATCTTGCTTGTACGAAAACGGCTCATTTCCATATTCCAACGGATACTGGGRAAATGATTTTGGAAATAGAACGACAATGAGTGGGATGAATTCTTACAATWCCTCGAGCCAATTYACTACTCGGTATCAGCAGTATGGCGATAGTAAGTACGCTTTGACTTTTTAATATTGATGATTTAGATGTGCTGCAAAGCAAAGTAATCTTTTTTTTGCTCGATACAGCATATTTCCATTAGTTTAAATCACTTAGTGCATAACGCAAGGAGAGTTTTTACGCTCASCTTCAAATTAATGAATAAATAGGGCGTTGCTTCCGTAGGAAATTCAAGGAAAGTTTGAAAACTTTGTCGATAGTGTCATCGTGCAATGGTATCTTTATGTTAATTTCAAATATAAATGTTTTGGATCTAGTTGTATGATTTATTAATAATTTACGATGAACAAGAATTCTCAGTCACGAACGAGCTATATTGTATGAATATAGTGCAGTTTTTCGAATTTAAACATGCTATGGATTTCAAATCTAAAGTCAAGCATCGAATAACTAAAACAAACTCAATTTATAACCCAAAAGGCACCAAAAAATGAATTGTATAACAGACAGACTGACACTGACAGACAGATACACTGGCTGAGAGACAGTCAGACTGATTGACTGACAGACTAGACACACTGACAGATCTAATGAGGGGAAGACAAACAGACTGAATGACAGAGAGACAGACATRCAGACAGAGCGTATCAGGAGGAGCCAACGGGGTCTGTTCTTCTAAATAACTGTTCTTGTACGATTTTTTTCCTGGCGAAGGGATTTTGAGCTACACTGTTGACAATCTCCCAAGCAAATGTAGTGCCCTTCCTTCTTTAAAATAAYTTTGTTCCTGGCAAACGTCTTTAAACGGCTTATTTTATTTAGTTAGGAAATTATTATTTTCCTGGCAAAAATTCTTAGAAARTATTCCTTGCCTGGAGAGTTCTTTTTACCTGAACTTCTCGCTGGCAACCAGTTGTGACTTACAGCTGGAGGCTGCGACATAAGAACATATATATTTCTCCTAGGAACCCGTCGCCTCCTCCTAGCGTATAGACAAACAAACAAAATGACTGATAGACACAATGACTGACAGACAGACAGCATCAACGACGGACAGACAGCAATGAAAATAACCCCATTGAAAGTTACATCAATCGTMGACATAWATTGYATCTCCAAGCAATACAACCAACCGAAACAAGACTCTTACGTTACAGGGCGTCACGCCAGAACAAAGCTWGAGGTGTCACGCAGGAATACCTGCTCKTTCGATTGTTCTTGCTAATATGTACARYACTCGAGCTCACGCGCTTGAAAAAGTGTATACTTGTATAAAGTTTGCGTATTCGTTAGGAAAAACGGCACCGAAACGAAGAAATGTATATAAAAAGAACAAAATGAACGAGAAAAGAGAATTGAAAAAGAGAGAGATGTACTATTATAATAATGATCCTACAGACCAAGAAACGGAAAAACACATCGATCTGTTTAAGACATTTTAAAAAAGACAAAAGAAAACGAGAAACTATGCTATGCTTTAAAAGTGAAATMAAAGAAAAAAAAGTGAGATAAATTGGGAGAAATGGGAAGCGAAAGTGAATAAGAATGAAAAAAAAAACAACAAAAGATTCTTCGAAATCAAAATGGGGATCAATACTACACAAAATACGATAGATTGTTACTTTATATTACTTTKCAAAGTCGTTATAAAGTGATGTCTCAACATTATGTAAATATAACCGRCCCATCGMCACTGAATGTTGTACTTTATAATCCAAYGCCAATGTTGGTTTTTCAYAAAATTAATGCCTTTGAACCMCTACAAACTTTCGATATTTTAATACCCATATCTTTGGAAAAATGAAAGTAAACCTCCCTCCAACCACGTGTTGAGAATACCTTATTTAGTCTGCTAAAGGCGTTCGGCAATTGTTATGATAATGCGATTATGTATTCTCGAATTGTTATGCTAATGAGCCCCTGGACTTGTGAAGGGTCTAACCCAAAGCATGGTGTAAAGAGACTCGAGTAGACGTCGTTGCGAAGTTGTTTCTTGTTACCACAACGAACGATCGAAAACTCTCCAAGGCGACCCGTAGTCAAGGTTACAGATCCTTCCCAGAAGTTCCTTCGACTCATAGTATTTGTGCTGTCTAACTGGTTGGTTGAACAACACTGAATCTTTATATTTTTAGCTTGATTGTAGTTGAATTCGAACTTAGTTTAGGCTTATACGGCCTTCGATTTGAACAGATAGTCTTTGCGAGCCCAATGTGTTCGCTGAGTCAATTCACAAGGATTTTTCTTGATATTACATGGTTTTTTCAAACTCTTTCTCCCTGTACATGTCCTCTAGTTATTTTTACTTCTGTGTTTGATGTTTAGTTTGTTTCATCGCTTATAATAAGAGTAAAGTTTTGGTGTTTTGAACGTTGCTGAGTAGAGCCGTTCGTTATACTTGTTTAAATGGCGCTTAAACGAATTTGTTCGCGCAAGTCGCCGGAAGCTGTTCAGATATATTGAACAACATGGCTTTATGTTGTTATGTTTCGGTTTATAGAACATCATATGGCGGCTACAGCCCAACAGGCTTTTGTTCCACAACAGGGCTTTGAACAGAAGGACGTATCRTCTAACGCGCGAAGTAACGTTACGCAAGCAGAGTTTACAACRACRAGCCTTCCGATACATGGTGTAGTTGTCACAGCGTCTACTATACCAAACTCAGGGACTGCTCACCCTACTCTTCCTCAAACGGCCGTTACTTTAGTTCAGGCTCCCCCAATACAACACACACAATCTCTACAACAAACGGCAACAGCGCAAATTATCGCTGCCAGTGTATTATCGCCAGAAGAGTTTCAGGCGACCGCAGGAAAGGAAGGTAAAGCTGCCATCTTGGATCGCTAATACCGTTTGAGTTGATCAGTGTCTCTTAATCAAGTCTAATCTAATCGCGTCAAACTAAATAAAATACTTTCTATTTAATCCTAGTTGTATAAATGTAACTGAAACGTTTCATGTTCCTAAAGGTTTTTCTGCCGGTGAAGTTCAGTACGTTGAGGCTTCAGCWGAACACGGGTTGTATCCCAACGGGACTGGGTAAGTGATAATAAGTAAACAACAGCTGATGATATTTTCCCGTAGGATTCGTTATCTCTTTGAAAAAGGTTATGTTTTTAACTCGATTTTTTAGCCAGACTATTTGGTGTGACGTGCGTTTTACCGAACACACGAATGGCTTTCGGTTTTTTGTTCATCGTTTGATTGACACGTTTCACCACCTGCATTTCTTTGGCCTTATCAATAAAGGAACACATGTGAACGATGATCCGGTAACATACACGTTATTACCACAAAACAAAGCTTACATAACCAATCTAGATATTATTTTCAAATTTTCATTGCTATTAGTAGTTTTTGGAGCTAAATTATGACACGAGGGCTCACTCCCTTATAAGGCAAGTGTAATTTATGCAACATTATATTGGCTTCAGCTTGGATTCAAATTATACTTCTTATTTATTCTTTATTAGAATTTTTTATTTGGAAAAATAATATCCCAAGGGTGTCTGCTTTGAGTGCATGATTATATCTGAATGTGAAATGGGATGAACTATCACCATAGAAATTTCTAGTAACCCTTGGATATTGTATTCAAATGTGGCCAGAGGCAAGACCCTCGCATCTCATTAGCTTTTCAATCTATTCAGAATGTCTGTTTATTTATTCAGTTGGAAATTACAAGTCGTATTCGAAAGCATTTTTCCTAAGAGACTCCCCACATCACTATGACAACAGCAAGTCTTATTGTGAATGGATGAATAGAATTCATTCTCAGTTTAGTTTCACCATATGACCACTCTGTTGATAGTGGAACACATATCCAAGGGATACTAGACTTTGGGGGRAAATTTTCTCTGTGAAAATTACATCAAAGTGGCCAAAATTAGCTGAATAATGCCAGTTTCTACTTACATGTACGTATGATCATGATAGAAATTCTGTATGTTTTCAAACTTATTGTGTCTTTCAATGTCCTTGTAGTGTAGTGTTCATAATTTAGTATAAACTTTCAGTTTTTCTTTGACTAATGTTGTATTTCCATGRTTCTAAGTTAGTTGTTTTGAGAAAGTTTTGAAATTATGAGCAAATTTTAGTTTCATTCAAGATGTTTTGTCTTGGTGATAAGTTCAGTGTGGTGTATGATCTTTAATGTTCAAGTAATATCCAGAATTGTTTACAAGTCATAAAGGCTCATAAGATCTTGATTAGTAATTGTATAGAATAAAGAATTTTGAGCAACTTACGTAAATTTATTTGAAAACACAGTTAGACTTGGTTTTCAAACTAGAATCGGGTTAAATGTTTAACTTTGAGCTGACTAACCAATGTGTTTTAGAGGACTGTTATATTGTCATTCAAGGTGATAAAGTTAAAAGATGCTAAAAGCTTTTAATGTAGTTGGTTCTTCYTCCATTATCATTTATCTGACATAAAACACATTGTTAAACATGTATTATACTGAAATACTTTCATTTTGAAAGAATATTATGACTCATCAACATAAATGTTACGAATAATCAAATTTAGATGAAACTACAATACTTGTCTATCTACAAATGATGCTCTGGTGAGTCTTTTATGAAAGAAAAAGTCTTTTCTTCAAATTTTGAACAATTTTAAATATTCTAAATGAAGCTAGGATGTTATAAATGTARTCCAGTTGTATACTTGATCATGTGTTGCGGCGTATATAATTGAGAGCCTAACCACCATACCACAAATTAATATGGRGACTATTACCATTTTTGACACTTTTTGCCATAAAGACAACATAGCTATCATTAAATATTGGTTTTGTTTAAGAAATATTTCAAAATGAACACATGTTGATGGATGTAGTTGAATGGTCAAGTTAGCTGTAGTGTGAAGTGAACATTAACTTTGCTTTCCTATCAAAAAAACTACAAGAAAAGATATATCCTTTAGTTAGTATGCTAAATGTGAGATATCAAATTCCACAAAGAAAATTTGACTTGGTTATTTGATTGTYTTTAAATGCATGAATGCTGAGCTGAAAGCAAAATTGAATTTGGCAGCTGACCAAATTTTACTATGWTTTTTKACTYTATAACTCTAATAGTTRAACTTCTCTSAAGTTCAGAAGTTCAACTATTTTGACAAGTACATTTTCAAATTCACTTAAAAATAAAGTCATTTGTTTTGAAATTACACTTGTAACTACAGGTAAATATTGACAATAACACTGCTTTTTTTTCTCAACTAACATGGTATACAGCAGTCTGTTTGGGGTCTTGATAATTTTTGAATATTTAAATGTTGGTTTCATCATTTGGTGCTGTTTTTATATATTATTGTGATTTTGGTTGTATTATTACAGCCTCAAGGGCTAACACTTAGTYCATGTTAGAATCATGTTAGTCTTGTTAAATAAATTAAAATTGAGATCCAATTTTTGTATTTAAGTTTAAAGCTTCTGTGACAAAAAATTATGTACAAAGTATTTATTTATACAACAAAATTATAATAGAGTACACAGATCTYTTGAAAACTGATATCTTTGTTATTATCATTATAGAATTCTAACATAGAAAACCATTTTCCTGTTCCATGTGCACTGTCTGTGCATGTACTTATTATGATGTATTTTTTTTGATAACTTGGTTTTCTTGTTTTAAGCCATTAGGATTTTCTTGGTAACTATAGTTACAAGTTAGGATTWCAGTTATGGAAAATTATATAAAGATTGCATTTGCATAAATGAAAATATTTACCTCATTCATTATAACATTCTCAGCTGGATCAAATGTCAGTCACTTGTAGAGCTCATAACGATATCAGAGAGAATATTTCATGAAGTACTATAAAGATTGATAAGGATAGAAATTCATATAGAGTTTTCTCATGTACACGTACATGTATTGTTACTAGTAAATTGAAAAGACAGTTGTATTAATAGTTTTGCCTTCTWCAAAGTACAACAGTCTGTAGTTTGTATATCTTGTCATTTTGATAAGGGAGTTGTTTTCACAGTGACTGAAAAAGATTATTTAGACTTATAGTTGGTATTAAACTCTGAATATATTGTTTTCTTTTTGTTCTCTACCAATATACTGAATAAATAATCATTTTCAGTGCACAATCAACTGAAAACTACAAGATACCATGATAACYAACAATCAAAGGTTCAGCATAAAAAAATACATGCAATTCTACTTCCATGGAGAAAGAAACAGTGCCTTCCTTATTGAATATAATAAATTAATGTTTGTTTGTTATGTTTCAGGAGTACYGCCTTCCATTACAATGATAATGCCATGTTCTCACAGCAGCCCTCCGCTACATTCATGGATGCTGCAGCACAGCCGCAACAGGCACAAACATTTTCAGTTGCTACAACWCCAGCAGTAGCCACAGCTGCTAGTAGTGTTCCAGGTACTTACGTTCCAGTAGGTGGACAGCAGCACCAAGGCATACCACGGCATCCTATTGCMCACACWACTAGGGCATCTCCAGCCACTGTGAGTACATCTCCATCACTTTATAGCAGCTAAGTRGGAAACTGGCAATTACAATTCTWCATAGACACTATYGGTGTTGATTAAGTTGCCCATTTCCTTCTCAMATGAAAGTATCTGTACAGTTACAGTCTTTGTTTGAGTCCCAAATTTGGCATTAATAATGTGAATTAAATRCTGTTACTCTCTCCCTTAAGGGTTTTTCTCATGGTAATCCAGTCAGAAATAACTATAATGTGAGTGGCGTTCATTGTTGTTGAATTGTATGTTTTGATATTTAGTGCGAGGGTGTTTCCCCCTCTCAAAATACAAGGGTCTTTTAGTGATGTTTTTGTACTAAATATATTTTCAAAATTCAAGAGTTATAGGAGCAATATCTAAATGAATTAGTACTGTAAATGCACCAAAACCTTTGCCACTTCAGATATTTATTTACTAGTTATATATGTTTTGCACAATGATATGAAATATCTTATTCAATGCTGATAGTAATGTGTCTGTTAGGTCCAGTGGTTGTTGGAGAATTATGAGACAGCAGAAGGGGTTAGTTTACCACGTCAAACTCTGTATCACCATTACCTGACCCATTGTCAGACACACAAGCTAGACCCAGTAAATGCAGCCAGCTTTGGTAAACTTATCCGTTCYGTCTTCTTGGGACTCAAGACAAGACGTCTTGGCACTAGGTAGGCTGATAAACTTGATGKKTAYKGCACAAAAACTAACATAAAACTTTATCTGTTTACCTCAAACATGTTGCTCATCCATTGGTCTCRGTWGAGTACATGTGTTCAAATACAAGTCTTGCAAATCCATTGTAAGTTTTGCCACTTTTAATGCGTTATTTGTTTGTGTTTAGGGGTAATTCAAAGTATCATTATTATGGCATTCGTATCAAACCCAGTTCRCCTCTCAAYGCACTAACAGATGACACACAGGTTGCTCTTAGACAGTCTCCTTCTACACAGAAAAGGTAAGCAATGCTGCTTGATTTCTAATGTATTATTAGCTATTAATATTTTGCTTATTGCTGCCATAGAATAAAGCCAGCATCACGAGCTGATGGATCAGAAGGAGATRGTTATTCATCGTTATCAGGTGGGGCTGTTGACCAATCACAGCAAAGCCATCACCAGCACCAAGAATACCTTGGCGATGTCACTCAAGGACTGCCTGACTTTGAGGACTTGGATACCAAGGGATCCCCTCTACCAGGTAATGTTTATCATATAGTACTTCCTATCATTATGTTGTTTTACTTAAAGTGAGTAATCCAATTATTATTGTTTATTACAATATTATTAAGAGTGTAGTTTACTCATGATAAGGAAACAGTCTTTAACAACTGTTCTTTTATTGGTAAAGTCAGAATTATTAGCCCCCTAGATGGTTTTGAAATGTAGTTTTACCTTTCTATGGAAGCAAAAAGACTTGTGCACTTGAAGTGACACACCTTTTCTGGAATCTACCATCACGAGCTCACCAAATGGTTGTCTTTGATGTAAATTCATAGCTACTTCTCTAGGAACATGTGTACTGTAAACGAAACTTATTATCCTTTTTGCATTGCCAGATGGAGTTGGTGAGGATGACTTGGACACCTTTCAAGACATGTACAGAGAACACTGTGAGGTAAAGTAATATTATAATAATATTATGCACTTAGTTTAGAAACAAGCATTATAAGATGTAAAATAAAATCTATTGGTTTGTAAATAACATTGTATGAGGGCAAATTCTCTATATTATTTCCATGGGCTAGTTGTAAGAAGGTTGATTAACATTATTGACTAGGTTAAGTTATCCACAATTTTCATAGATAATGCTACAGACCATTTGTTCAACCAGCCCCAGTATGGCAAAGTGAAGTTAAATGATCAGTGTTTTTTTCTGTTGACAGGCTTTTCTAGATGTCGTTGTTAATCTACAGTTTGGTGTTGTGGAGTCCCTGTGGCAGAGTTTCTGGAGGCATACATCTACAGTGAAGAAAGAAGACAAGACAGASGGAAATCAAGTCTTGTCAACATCACCTAGCATAAAGGAACTAGGGTAAGAATTATTACATTATTATATTATTCATTCTCTCATCCTGGTTCTTTTCTATTTATTTGTTCTGTTTTCTTTTTCATCTTTCCATTGCATGAGATTTCAAACTTTTTTCCTCCTATGCTGCAGATAAATGTTAAAGTGCTACTTGCATGAAAATGGTCTTATTTCAAAACTTCAAGCAATACAAATATATGACTCATTTATATTTATTAAAAACAATTGCGGGAAAATATTTGTTTTGGAATTATCCCACGTCAGAGAAATTTTGATTCAAAAGATGGAAGAACAAAATGATGGAGTAAATGACGCCATCTACTCCAACATTTTTTGCCCAAATTATTAAGGATTTGTATCAATATCTTCTTGAAATCTGTTGCTTCATGATTATTAGACCCATATGGATAGGTCTATTTGATTTCTAGTCTTTTCTAATGTTTTGCAATTTTTGTCCAAGTAGCCCTTTAATATTGAGCTCTATTATAACCTGATGCCTAATTTATATATTATTATATTATAGTGACGATGAAGACAATGAGAAGCGTCTTCCCAAGACTAAGCTAATGATTCTGTGTGAATTTGACCCTGTCATTGCTTATGTTAAAAGTTGTGACCATCTACTGTACCAGACACTTGTTGAGATACTCATTCCTGATGTCCTTAGACCTATACCATGTAAGCTCATGTCCCCTGACAGTGGATGTTATTCTATTAAGTTCTCTCTTATTTTTATTWTTATTTCATTTGTCTTTTATTTAAGTTAAAATCTTAAGTGCTTTGAGTGTTGTCATTTTAATTATTCAGCTCCTTAAGTACACCAAGTGATGCGYTTAATTTTCTGTTCATCTTTTAGCATCTCTCACACAAGCTATTCGTAACTTTGCCAAGAGACTGGAAGGRTGGGTTGCTGGTTCACTCAACCATGTYCCTAAGAAGATGGGAGATGTCAAGGTACAGKAAATGTACTCCATTTAAACCTGCTTTATTTTAACAGATAATGTTATTTTGATAAACAAGTTTTACATTGGAAACATTGATGCATAGCTGTTGATTACATTGATGATAATGATATTATTATTTGTCAGGTTTCAAGCTGTTGCGCATTTGCTCAAACCCTACGTCGCTATACGTCATTGAATCACTTGGCTCAAGCAGCCCGTGCAGTTTTACAGAACCCTTCCCAGATCAACCAGATGCTGAATGACTTGAACAGGGTTGATTTTGCTAACGTCCAGGTACAAGATTCATATGATAGTGATGATAATATGCTTGTCTGACTAATTGATATTATCTTGGTGCATTGTATCAGTGTGCAATGATTTTTGGTTTTGATGTCCAGGAACAAGCAGCATGGGTTTGTCAGTGTGATGATCATCTAGTGTATAGGATTGAACAGGACTTTAAACTTACACTACAACAACAGGTAATTACCAGGAAGACCAGGCAGGGGATGGTTTCATACACAACTTGATAAAGTTCTTGACTAGTATTAACCTCAACCCCTACCAATACCCTGTAACTTTTTTCAACCATGTGAGAATCATAGATGAAGGGTCTTAGATGTGATGATGCTAAAATTAATATTGTATTCTGTAGAACTCACTGGAGCAATGGGCCACGTGGCTGGAAGGTGTTGTCGATCAGTTCCTTAAACCCCATGAAGGTGCAGAGAGATATCCCAAGGCAGCTAAACAGTTCTTACTTAAATGGTCTTTTTATAGGTATGTTAACTGGTGTATTGTAATGGAAGTACAAAAGGGAATGACAAACAGAATGAGAAATAGAATAGAATAGGATGCAAAATGCATGTTACCATGATCTTGTTTACTATGCGAGTCTTGTGTTCTAGCTTTCTTATCAACTTWGAGGAAAAAGTTTTCTTTTGGCCATTGTGTATTTGTCTAGTATAGTCTAAGTGTGTTAAAATTTGTAGTCTGTATTAGTGTATTATTCTGTAAACTGTACATGTATAAATAAGGAAACAGTTCTAGAGGATAGCATAAAAAAGAACTTTGAGAAAAAACATTCTAAATTGTGAGCAAACAAATTCTGTAAAGATTATATCTAGTGCTATCTAGAGCAATAATAATCTATAATATTAATACTTCAACTGAAATCCATTTTTCTATTCCAGTTCAATGATCATCCGTGATTTAACCCTACGTAGTGCAGCAAGTTTTGGTTCATTTCACTTGATTCGCCTTCTCTATGATGAGTACATGTTTTACCTAGTGGAGCACAAGGTCTCTAAAGCTATAGGAGCATCACCTATCTCCGTTATGGGAGAGGTAAGAACTCCTTATCAATGAATGGATGAATAGAAGATGATTAAATAGATGGAGATATGACTGGAGTAATGTGAATATATAGTTGGATACAATGAGACAATTGTATTAGAATGATAATACCATGATCATCTCGGATTCCATTGTCTTCCGAGGGGTTTACAAACCCGAATTTCCCTCATG